TTATTACCTCCATGGTGTTACTATACTACTATACTGTCTATGGTTAAACAGGGCCCAAATTGATAGGGAGTAAAACACGGAAGTGGAAGAGCTGTCCTTGCATTGACCAATCACACAAGAGCTCACAAACACCAAAGAAATATTTGTTGTTGTACTTAACAAAGGGATTTGGCACTAAAAACAATGGAACGTTTATAGGCTTAACGTTGGATTTAGATCGTGTTATAATCCAAATCCCCTACTAAGACTTGTAAGCACAAATTTTCATATGTGGCTTAATATTAAATTTATGTAGATGACGTCTCCCAAACAAATAACCACCTCAGGCTGTTTACTATTAAAATATTTCAAAATATTCCACGAAAACTCTGTTCTCAAATCAAATGCGAAATCTAATTCCGAACGTTTAAATCATTACTCAATTGGGACACGTCATTTACTGAGTAGGACAATGGATCGTAACAGTCAGCGAAGGCCGTAACACGAACCTTGACTATACAGCGAGACTTTCAGGAATATGGGAACAAATCGACAACTCTAGAACCAGAGTTATATATTTAAGAATCCCCCCCCCCAAGAAAATGGGTAACAGTTTACACCAATTTACCAAGACACAGTCAATGTGTATTGAAATATGAGTATTGTGGTATTACTCAATTATAACACATGGGGGGGGGGGGGCTCGTTTGCCTCTATGTCTTTCTTTGATTTCTTTAATGCTAAGATACCACCTTTTATACGACTTAGTAATTATTTTATAAGGTAATATACACCTAATTAGTTTCACAAACGTGGATATAAGCTAATTTACAAAACACTAGACGATTAGTAGAGTTGTTCAGTTTTATTCAATAGTTATGAAATCGTTTGCGACTAATGTTTTAACGTCCGGTAAATTGTAGATGATAGGCAAGCATTTGAAAATCTTTTAAAACTATATCATACTTGGCTATGTGGTTTATTAAAACGTGATGGTCGTCACCTGCGCACGCGCGGGAATTGAGTCCCAAGTGACGATAACAACATACGCTAAAACGCAAAGGCTCATGGGTAGACGCTTGTTTGTAAACAATGACACGCTATGGTCATTTGCAACGTTTCAGATATTGTTTATTCTGCGCACATTGTAGCAATGTGCATATGAGTTATATAAAACGAAAGTAACTTTTATCCATAAATATGCATTTTTTACCGATATGTTACCGGACTTACCCGTGGTGGTCTTTAGCAGAAGTTGTTTCAGCTGACTCCCAGGATAATATTTGGCATGATGTCACTGTTTACAAATTACATTTCTAAGCCACTTTCTGAATTCTTTCTTCGTCGAACGAATAATATCGTCTGTGCTATAAGCCGCATTTTATTATGCCACCACGTGGATACGGCGTTATGTAGTCCAGACATACACAAACAAAATGGAGCCCTTTGTACAAGTGGAGCCCCAAACTTGGGGCTCCACAATGTTTCATAATTTATATTAATATTTAATCGAATTTAAGTCAGGTTTGCGA